GCATCCTGAGCTCTCAGAGAGTTCTTGGTCCCCATGGGAGAGAAAGCCCCCATCTTTCCATCTCTGTGTCTCACTCACTGTGTCACCACAGGCAAATTTTAGGGCACTTGTTTTTAGAATGGGGACAATGACTGCCTTAGTTCACAGAGCTGTCATGAGGGTCACAGCAGACAAAGTCACTGACAGCTCTGTTTGGAGTTTATAGATTCCATCCAGTGCCAAGGAATTATCTTACCTTTGGGCGAAGGATGGCTCAGCCAGTTGCATACAAACAGTCCCACACTAACACAGGCACTGAAGTCACCAAACAGTGACAAACACAAGCAATGGTTTGCTGATAAATAGGACCTCTGGTAGCAGGGGCACGGGGAGAAATTTCATAATTTGGCATAAATCCACCCATCGTGACTGATACCAAGCTGCCATCAGTTACTCCACCACAAACTCCCTCAATATTTACCAAGTGGCTCTCTACAAAATCAGCAACCTCACATCACTGGCAGGGACAAGAAATAAGGCCTGGGGACTCCTGTTGGCCAGGCTAGTATCCAAATGTGTCTTAGGAATTTCTTTCCTTTTTTATCCTATCTAGGCCTGGCTCTGCCCAGATGGCACACTTTCTTCCCAGCTCTCCTCCTGGGGTGTGAAGCTAGAGGACTCATGGAGGGCATGGTGTGGGGTTTACTCGTTGTGGCTTGGCCAGAGACTATTGCTCTGTTCATAGGGCTTGGGCCAGGTCATGGCCTGCTATTCTGCAAAGGCTCTTTGTTAAGATTTCGAGGGAGGGGATGGAGTGGAGGGGGAGAAGGGAGTCAGCTTCCTGCACCCGCCTGTTGAACAGTTTGTGCAGCGATCTTCCTTGTGCTCCTTACGTTCATGCTGCTATCCCAGTATTTGAAAAGTTGTATTCTACCTTCCTGCAGGTTCTGACCTGCCACACAGATCAGTTAAATGAATGAACAAGCTAATGAGTCCATGTACACAGATTCTGGGGTGACCTGGCTTTTCCAGTCCTACCTTTCAGAGCCAACACATTGCAAACAGGGCCCTTTGTCCTCCTACCCTGTTCTTTCTCTTCCTTCATTCATTCCTTGTACTGATGTTGATCATCAAGAGCCTATAACACGCCCAGAGCTAGCCAGCCTGGGAATTTTAGGATGCCTCTGCTGCTTTTGGTTTAGTGGTTTTGGTGAAATGTAGTAGGAAAGATGAGAGAGGGTGTGGGGCTACAGGGAGTGTGTGAGTTGCATTTTAAACACATTAAATTTAGGTGCCTACAGGACCTGCAAGATTAGCTGGCCAGAGGCAGATGGGTACATGATGTGGAGCTCAGGACAGAGGAGGAGGACTTTTTGGATCCTTCTTCCATCAAGAGTTCCAGGCCAGAAAGCCCAGAGTGATCTTTTGAGATCCCAAGTGCATAGGTAATTGGTCACTGGGTACATGCTCGCAAGTTTTACTTGGCTATTTACTGAATACTCTACCTGTATAAATCCTGCTTTGCTTACATTCAGATACCCAGGTCAAGAGCTCTTCCTGAAATGCCTCTGGAGCCCTTGTGATGTGACTTGGCCGTTCCTCCTCCGAGCCCAGCCTCACTTGGTTTATACTGCTTGGCTTCTTCCCAGATGGTTTATAATAGTTGTGTACGCCTGTGCCTGCTCCTCCCCCATTGTGCTGTGAGCTCCCCAGAGCAAGGATACCCCTCTTCTCTGTGTCGCTATGGCATCCATCAGCTCTGGCATTAATAAATGAATGAATGAATGTTGGTGATAGATTAGTTGAACCTCATTTGTTTTCCTGGGCAGCCCCATTCCCTACATTAGCTTTCTCTGCAGATGGCCTTGGAGACTGCTTGCCTGGCTCTAGGTACACATCCATGCCCTGGGGCTACGCCATTCCCAGCAGGCAGCAGCAGGAAACCAGTCTTCCCTGTTGCCTACCTATCCTGCCTCCAGGGCAACCCTTAAGCTGAGGTTGGCCCTGGGTTTGCTGTGTCCTTGCCAAAGCTGTAATGTACGTCAGAGGGTCCTAGACCTCAGCCGTTCCTTTTATAATTTGCATTCAGAGATAGAGACATGGTTTGTGATGTTTTGTAATCTTTTTATAACTGTGAAAAGGCAAAACCTAATTGCTAATTTAGGTACAAAGATGCTTCAGCACTCCTGAGAATTAGTCAATTTTGTATTTCTTCAGAATTTTTGAAATAGTTTATTGCAATTATTGATGAAGACAACTTTTAATGCTGCAATATTGTGTTTCCAAACAATGAGAGATACCCTGACCCTGTTACTCCAAAACCCAGCCGATAGTTCATTGCATTTAGATACATTAAATTTAGCTGGTAATTCTAGCACCAAACCCCAGACCCCACTCTTTGTGCTAGACAAGCAGGATCCCTGATCAGCCCCCACTCTTGTGCTATCTTGGTAGGATCTATGCCCAGAGGTGGAGGGGCTCTGGAACCTCCTTGATGGCCTCCCACAATTGGACTGATTCTGCTTCTCCATGGCTGAATGCCTGCCTCCTTTGGCAGAGCTGGCTTCCTGGGGTACTGCCTACCTACTCCAGGAAGGTGCCTTTTGATATCAAGCAGTCTAAACAAAGAGTCAAGACCAGCCTTTCAGGACAAGCAGAATTCAGGCTCAATAGTGGCCAGGCTGATCTGCCAAGAGAGGTGTTCAGGTGACCTGGGACTTCCTTCATAGTTAGTACTTTATTTCTTGGTACTTTGGGGCTAAGTTCACATCTATGCACATAGGGTGCCTTGTTCTTTCTGAGAGCACCTTGGCCCCTGCGCAGGGGGTGTATCCCACTGTACTACACTCTTAAACACTCTCTAGAGATGCTTGATGACATGTCATGTCCCTGGAGACCCCCATACCTGAGCTGCTGGGCATTCTGGGAGTGTATTATAAGATGCATTCTTAGAAGCAGCATTCTCGGTTTTGAATTTAAAACTGGTTTCCCTCCCCAAGTATGACATTTATGGCATTTATTGAAATGAGGTTCCTATTTCTCGCCTCGTCTCAACAACATTGAAAAAAAAAACCCACCCACAATGGAACAAGCTATAGGGCATCTTTCCCACTGGCAAATGAGAGGGCATGGAGCCAGCACCATGTGGCAGTCATTCCCCTCTGAGGCCTCTGACTCTGCTTCCTGGAAGCTGTACTGTGGGGTCTCAGCAGGGCAGGGAGAGACCCCAGGGGCAGCTTGTATGGGATTCTGGGCCACCTCCGTTATCCCTGTCAGCTGCCCCCAGGCTGCTACCAGGGCTAGCTGAGTCCTCCCTGGAACTCTCAGCTCTCTGCTAAGCCAACGTGGAAATAGACCCACCATGGTTTCTAGGCACTTTCAACACCACCTGCTAAAGAAAATAGCCTCACATGTCAGGGCGATCCACAAAGACACTCTGCTCTGTGTCCCGCCCTCCCGAAGGCACTAAGACCAGAAAGGGGACAAGACTCAGGGGCTGCAACTCCCCTGGGCTTGCAGACTAGTGGCAGAGAAAGAGCGTCAGGTCGCAGTAGCCAGGCAAACCCAGGGCGGACACGGAGAGCCCACAAATCCTTCTTCCCTACCCGCCTCCGCTAGGGATTTTCAGAGCTGGAGCTTCCAGGAACAAGCAGACCCGGCCACCGGGGCTGGAGAGGGTAGCGGGTGCCAGTTGGGCAACAGGGCGGGGCAAACCCTGTGAGATCACGAGCCCTGGATAAAGGAGGGTAGGGAGCGTGCATGTGGCAGAGCCCTGGTTTGCTGAGTCGCCTCAGGACCACAGACATGAAGCTGGTCTTCACCGTCCTGCTGCTCCTCGGGGCCCTCGGTGAGTGCAGGTGTCTGGGCGCGCACTCCACTCAACGGGCGTCTCCGGTCCCGGCGTCCCACCTGCTAGGCACCTTGGCCCCTGTGCACTGCCCGGTGGGCGCCCTCTCTCTGCTCCCCGCGGGGTGGGCGCCTCGGTTCCTGCGTCTGCAGCCTGCGAGCGAGGAGGCGCCCGGGAGGTGGGGCCGGGGCTCGCCGCCCGCCCGGGAAGAGCAGGAGACGCAGGGGGCGAGACGAGCCCAGCGCTGCGCTGAGCTTCCGGAAGGGCTCAGGGTCCTGCCCATTGTGTCCTATGGATTTGACACCTATTGTACCCTTCCACGCGTTTTACATGGAAGGAAAGTGAGGCTCAGAGAGATCAGAGACTTGCTTAAGACACACAAGGGACCCGAGTTCAGGTCCTGGCTTCTGCGAGGACTGCGTTACTAGGTCAAGACAGAGCCTCTGAGACTTCGTTTCTTCACGTTAGAAGCAGCCTAAACATGGGACCCAGGGGCTGTGAGGAGGAAGTGAGGTGCCTCCGGCTCAGGACCAGGCACAGGCGTATGACGCCTCCCATGGCAGGAGGGTGCCCACGATGGGACCCTGTGTCAGAGTGTTTGAGGAGGAGGTGACTGATTTCCCTTTGAAATGTGCCCAGAATAGCAGGGACTAAATAGAAGGTACTAGACATTTGATAGTCCGTACCCAGGTATCTGAAGGTGCTCAGAGGGCATTCCCCCCAGGGTACATCAGCGCTATAAACGTGCCAGCGCAGAGCTTCCTGCACTATGAAGAGGGGAGAGTCCCAGGCAGCAGAAGTTAGGCAGTGGGGGCAGAGTGGATACCCGGAGTCACTTCTTCGTCAGCTGCTTAGGGCTGGGAGCTTCCTGGAAAGGGGGTTGTGGTTAGAGAGTATAGAGATCTCACAACCCCAAACCCTGGGAGCTCTGTCCCATCCCTGCCTCTACCCTTCTGGGCCCCCTTCTACAAATTCCTTCCTGTGGGTGTTAGTTACCCCTTTCCTCTAAAGCAGATGGGGCCTGGCCAGGATCAAGCTGTTCCCTTTCCCTCTGCTGCCCAGGGCTGGGTGTCTCTGCCACATGCCAGAGAGGTAGAAAGCCTTGCTTTCCTGGAAGTGATCAGGGGTTGTGGTCCAGGATTCTGACTCGGAGTTGTACCACTGGGTTTCATTTTCACTTGGATCTTGGTTGTCTTGGCACCTACAGAATTCTACATTTTAAATCCCACAGTCAATAGGACGGTGGTCTGCGCTGCGAAGTGCCACTGAAACCCTTGTCCTTCCCTGAGGAAGGAGTGGCATTGCCAGATGGGATTCCTGCCCTGCTCCCTATGTGTCTCCCCACTCGCAGGGGTTGGGCAGGTGGGACAGCTGAATTCACACTGTGGGAGCAGGTTGGGGAGTCAGTCCGCTCAGCCCCTGGATTCACTGGCTGGAAGGCACTTCTGAGGCTTCATATCCGCCTAAGCAGCCTGTCTGGGCCCTCCTGAGAGCTGTGGGGGTGGGGTCAGCGGTGGAGGGTGGGAACTCCTGTCCTGGCTCCTGCTTCTGAGGCCAGGGCACTGAACGTCTGCATGGAATTCATGCTTTGGCAAGAGTAGGCTTGGCGGGCAGCATCTGAGTGGGCAATGCCATTGGATTGGAGATTTAGGAGGGGCCAGACTCAGATTTGCTTCAGGGAACACTTGGTCCTGAGTGGAATACTTAGCGCCAGAGCTGGTAGGTGAAGGCTTGGGAGGGGATGCCTGGTGTTTCAGGGGCCACGGGGACTGAGGGTCCTGGAAAGGTGCTCAGTGGTCCTGTAACCATCCTGGCTCAGCGTATCCAGCCGAAGGAACAAGCTCTGCCCCCAGGTTCCAATCACTGCTCACTCCCCCACCCTGCTTGAGATGTGATCTTCTGTTTTTCTCTCTCCCTTCACCTGCAAGACCCACCATTGCCCAGCTGATTGCTGACACCACCTTCCTGTTTCTGCACCTTTTCCATTCTCAATGTTGTTCCCACTCCCCACTGAGAGAATCCTTCCCCTCATGCTTTCCTTAGCCACAGTCTCCCTGCCTGTTCCTAGGTTTCAGTCCACTCTGCCCCTGCCCTGGGCAGGACTCAGGTCTCTACCCTCTTCCATGAATCAGTTTCCCTGCATCCGAGCAGCTTTGAAACATTCCATGATCTGACTCCAGGCTTCTTACTGGTCCCATCTCCCCTGCAGCCTGTCTCTAACCTAGCTGACCTCCATAAGCAGGCTGTCCCAGTGGTAATAGCAAGGTTCAAATCCTAGGTCCTTCCTTTATTAGTTTCCATAAGCCATGCTCTCTCACGAACGCCACCCCCATTCAGGTTGCAGGGCACATAAGTAGTTCTTTCTTTTTTCTTGCTGAATGACATTCCTTTGTAGATGTACCAAATCTTGTCTAGCCATTCACCAGCTACTGGACATTTTAGATTGTTTCTTATTTTTACTGTTCTGAATAATGCTGCTATGAATATTCACACATAAGTCTCTATGTGGACATGGGTTTTTATTTCTCTTGGATATATGTCTAGAAGAGCAATCGCAGGGTCACGTGGTAACTACGTGCTTAATGTTTTGAGAAAATGCCAACTTGTTTTACAAAGTGGCTGCGCCATTTTATATTCTCAGCAGTGTGTAAGAGCTCCCATTTCTCTGTCTGTATTAGATATTATAACCATTCCAGTGGGTGTGAAATGAAATCTTACTGCATATTTAAATTGCATTTTTCTCACAACAAATTATGTTGAACCTCTTTTCCTGCACTTAGAAACCACTCAGATATCTCCCTTGGCAAAATATCTGTTTATGGCATTTACCCATTAAGTATTTAATTCTTTTTGATGTTACTCTATCCAGAATTATGTTCTTAATTCCATTTTCAGATTGTTCCAGGCTTCTATGCAGAGATATGATTGATTTTTATATATTAATCTTGTATCCCGTGACCCGGCTGCACTTGTTTATGGTCCTTATAGTAGTGATATTAGTGGATTCTTTAGGACTTTCTGCAAAGAGGATCATGTCATCTGCAAACAAAGACAGTTTTACTTCTTCTCTTTCAATGTGGGTGTCTTTTATTTCTTTTTCTTGCTTTATTAGCTTGATTAGAGCCTCTAGTACTATGTCGAATAGAAGAAGTAAGAGTGGATATCCTTATGTTCTTCCTGAACTTAGGGGAAAAGTATTCCGTCTTTTACCAGTTTAGTATGATATTCACTGGTAGGTTTTTGTAGATACCTTTTATCAGGCAACCAGGTGAGCACATGGGATTCAGCCTCTTCCACCAACCTTTTGGTCTCTCATTAGCCCCTCCTCCCCCAATTGATGGCAACTCCTAGCAGAGCCAGATGTATTTTCACTTGGCACCCTCTGAGGAGATGCTTTTAGATACAGCAATCTAGAGAGACCTAGATTTTAGGCTGGACTTTGCACTGCTGAGAAACAGTCTTCTTATGGGCCAGTTCCCACATCAGTGAAGCAGAAGCGATGATCTCCTGCCTGCCTGCCTCCCAGATTCAAATGAGATTAAGCAGGCAGAAAAATTCCATAAACAGATTGGAGGGATCATCGTCATTTTTTTAAGGCAGGAATTATGTCAAAGTCATAGGAAGGAAAAAAATCTAGAGGTTCTGTCTCTTCTTCTTTATTGAGAATCACAGAGATCCCATTAGTCCATCAAGATGCTTCCACTTCAAGTGAATGGCTGGACTTACCCATGGCATGGAGAGGGAAGAGGACAGCTGAGAGTGGGAGAAAAGTCTAGAAAACTCCATCAGAGGGGGTGGTGGTCACTTCCACGGACCGTGGTTGAGTCCTTTCTCCTTGGCCTCTCTCTCCCAGGACTGTGTCTGGCTGCCCAGAGGAGAAGTGTTCGATGGTGTACCATATCACCAGCCGAGACAACAAAATGCTACAAATTCCAAAGAAATATGAGGAAACTGAGGGGCCCTCCTGTCTCCTGTGTAAAGAGAACCTCCTCCCTTGAATGTATCCAGACCATTGCGGTAAGTCAATGGCCATTTGTTGGGTCAGACCAAACTGAATGTGAGGGAAAAAAATGGAATAAGATAGAAAAGATACTCTCCCCTACTGCCTCTGCTTTCCTTCTCAGGTGGGTGGGAACAGTCCTTACTCATAGGAGACAGTGCTATTTTGAGAGCAGAAAGAAACGAGCTTAAGTCCAGAATCCATGTGTGGGAAAGTGGGGACTTAACATAAATTGTTAATAACATCTATTCAAAAATGAGGCCTAAGCAAGCATATTTGAACAATGTGTGACATGGGAAAAAGTCAAGGTTGCTTTGAAGGGTGAAACCTCCGGAAGAACTATGACCTGTTAGCCCTGTGAGGAATAAACCTGGGTCCGTCACAAACACCATGTCAAGTAGCCTGGGCACTGGACATCAGATAGACTTTCATACAAGATGCTTTTAGAAAGAGAAAGAGAGATCATGACTGGTATGGGATTTCAGATAGACTTTCATACAAGATGCTTTTAGAAAGAGAGAGATCATGTCTGGTACAGGATTTCTGATTCCTTTTGTTTTTTGAGATATAAGATCTACTGCAATAATTTTTACTCATTCACTTAACAAATATGTTCGGTATACCTGTCATGTGCCAAGATTGTGTGTACTGGACTCCAGTACAGAATGGGTAATTTGTATAAAAGCTTCCAAGGCAAGCCTGAAGGATTACTTTATAAATGTAATCGAGTTATTAGGAAAGCACTTCCAGGAAAAAAAAAAAAACTAGTCTGGTCAGTGTTTTAGGCTATTATTTTACAACAATGGCAAGGGGACCAGTATCTTTTGCTTGTTTAAAATGCAGATTCCTAGGCCCTATTCCGACTCATTCTGAATACATATGAAGGAAGCCACAAATTTGCTTTTTAAATAAGATCCCCATTTGAAATCAGTACCATCAACTATTCATCCTGATAAAGTTGAGATAGATTAAATAGTTAAAAATAAAATATGAGTTATCAAAAAAAAAAAAAAAAAACAAACCCAGAGGGCAGGTGAACTAGCAGAACTATAGAGAGAATGTAAATATCTCAGCTTTAAACAATGAACTAAATCATGAAACAAACTGACATTTTAAAATGTCAAACATGTAATTCATAACCAAATAGAAAATATTTAAATAAAAATTATAAAGCAGCAGAATGAATGAATATGCACCAGCTCTGACAAGTGATCACTATTTATACTCTGTAAAGAACTAATTCAAAATGGAAAAAAATGTAGAATCATGTAAGAAAAATCATGTGAACAGAGTACTTGCAAGAAGGAATTCATAATTCATAAAAATACTTGCAAAATGTTCCCCTTCATAATTGTTAAAGCAGTGCCATGGCAGTTCAAGGTAGTTGTAGAAATAATTAAAGAGAGCAAGAGCAAGTAAAGTTCTAGCAAGAAAAGAATAGTTTATTTTAATGACTTGGTAAAGCAAGTCAGGCCCCATCCTAGAGATTGCAGGCAGCATGATGAGCACAGTGCTTAGATTTTATGCTAACTTTTGAGTGGTATCTGTTGCTTCTTAGAAGTTTCCCAAGCTCCTAATCAGGCTGTTCCCCAAACAACCCAAGTCAGTATGACACCTGTCCATGTCAGAAAGTCCTTGGGACACTGATTAGCCTCTATCTCAATTAGGCCCATTCTCATGACAACTGAGCATGATAACCCAGTCGAGCCTGACTAGGCTATTGAGGCCAGTTCAAAATAGCCTAACTACAGCTGCCGCCTGCCCTGCTCACTGACTTACTGCTCAACCTGATACAATCAGACTTGAGCAATGTGTTAGTACTTACGTTTTCCATAGTAATAAGTTAATAGAATGATAGCCCGTCCTGCTGGTGACTCTATAGTAAAACTGATCCTCACTGTCAGGGCCATTCTAAATTGGCATTATGAATCTTCTGGAAGGCAGAATGGCAACAGCAGTCAGGGCCATCAAGAGAAACGTGTGCCTTGTTTCCAGGATTCCACTCTCAGGTGCATATCCCAAGGCCACAGACATCCTGAAGGAAAAAGATAAGAGCCAAGATGCCCCTGAAAGCATAGTCCTAGTAGTCAAAAGCTAGAAATAACCCACGTACTGACCACTGGGGGGAATTATTTAATATTTATTAATATAGAACATGTACATTATAATAAAACACTGTGCAGTGAATAAAATCAATAAAGGCTCTGCCGAAGTAAGAAAATGGTGTGCAGTTTTAGATGAATAAAGCAGTCCACAAAATATGATCTCTGCCACGCCACAAACATAGAAATACATCAGCACGTGGGAAGCACTACGGTTTCTTATGGGAATTAAAAAATCTCTTAGTAGATACATTCTCTGGTCAATAAAAAGTAACTTAAAAGAAATGAATGTGGAGCAAAAATAAGGGGAGAACCATCTAGAACAAATACCTTTAAATGGAGACATGATCCAGAGAGTGGCACAGATGGGCAGGCATGAGAAAAAGAGGGCACATGCCTAGCTCAGAAGTTAAAGCCCTGCTGCCTGTTGCCCCCAAAGAGGGGACCTTGGCTCCCACCATCTCTCACAGGACATGAGTGGATGTGCTGGAAAGCTTTTGAAGTCGCTTCCAGCATGGAGACTTTCTGACATCCTGAAATCCCACTGACCTGGGTTTGGGTGAGTTTCCTTTTGAAGCCAGGCTGGCCTTTTCTCTTTCAGGCAAACAAGGCAGATGCTGTGACCCTGGATGGTGGTTTGGTGTTTGAGGCAGGGAAGGACCCCTACAAACTGCGCCCAGTAGTGGCAGAAGTCTATGGGACTGAAGCAAGTGAGTTCTGCCTGGGGATCCTGAAGCAGTGGTGGCCTTGGGCTGAGCCCTGGGTTCTGTGTGGTGACAGTGGATGAGTATGTGGAGGTGGCGGCTCTGTCACATCCTGTATGCAGGGGATGGAGTCGCTGGGCTCCTTGGGCCCCATGAAAGGCTGTTTCCCCTGAGGCTGGCCCGTGAGAGGAGGACTCGCATGCTCCCTGGGAACAGCGCAGGCTCTGCATTGGATGGAGCTGCACCAGATGGCTTTCCTCTTCCTATTGGAGGTTTCTTAGGGTGGGTTCTTTTTCTCTCTCTGGTCCAGGCTAAGAGTTTTCATTCCCCTCCCCTTGCAGATCCACGAAGCCACTATTATGCTGTGGCTGTGGTGAAGAAAAGCAGCCACTTCCAGCTGAACCAACTGCAAGGCGTAAAGTCCTGCCACACAGGTCTTAACAGGAACGCTGGCTGGAACATCCCTATAGGGACACTCCGCCCATTTCTTAACTGGATGGGGCCACCTGAGCCCATTGAGTCAGGTAGGATGGCTGGGGGATAGTGGATGATCTCAGGCAGGGGTCTCTACTCCAGCTGCACACACCGGCCACACAGATCATGTAGGGGAACATGTGGGATGCATCCAAGGGGGTGGGGCTAGCCAGCTTGATACGCCACTGGCAGGGCTCAGTATACCTGCAGCCCTCAGGAGCGGGCAGCCGAGTCTGCCCACATACTCCTGTTTTAGAGTCCCAGCCCCATGACAGAGGCTGTCCTGTGGGCGTGGGGGCAGGGGCTGTCTGCCCCCTGGGAGCACATGTGGGAAGCATACCTGGTTGTGGCCAGGCATGGCTCACACTCTGTGGTCCATTTCTCTGCGTTCAACAGCTGTGGCCAAGTTCTTCTCAGCCAGCTGTGTTCCTGGTGCAGATGGAACACTGTTCCCCAACCTGTGTCAACTGTGTGTCGGGACAGGGGCAAATAAATGTGCTGCCTCCTCCCAGGAACCGTACTTTGGCTATGCTGGTGCTTTCAGGTGAGTGAGATTGTTGTCTTCTCCTCAGTGGTCACCTCAGCTGTGGCCCCTGCTGTATCCCCAGAGAACCCTGACTCTGACTTTGCTCCTCTGTTCTCTGGGTTCCTCCTGCTAATTTCTGCCCCCTCCCTCACCACAGTGGGATAGAAGGAGTCTTGTGGTGAGCTAGCCAGTCCTGGCTCTCAGCTCGGCAGGACAGCCACCAGATCCAGGCTGATGTTATCTGCCATACTTGGGCTTCTCCCCAGAGTTCGAGGACAGTGAGCTTTGGCTGACAGTCCCTCCATGTCTCTGCCTCCATGTCAGGACTGTGCTCCCTTTTCCTGTCCTGCCTGCTGGGGTCACGCATATTTGCAGAAGGAGGCCTCCCCACTTCCCCACTAGCCAGAGCACATTTACGCACTCAGTTCTGAGGGGAAAAGCTACAGGGCCAGGGTATCAAGCCTTTACCTTCTCGGGGAGAAGCTTCAAAACTCTCTTTTGATAGTGGGTATGTGTGGTGTTCATTTGTCTATTCTTGAGATACTTCGCTTAGGAGAATGGTCTCTAGTTCCATTCAGACTACTGCAACAAGATAATAATTCCTCTTTGCAGAGGGAAGTAAAACTCAGTGGAAATCAACCAGGGGAGAGGGGTGAGAAAGGGAGGGGCAAAAACTTACCTAATGAGTACAAAGGATGCTCATCTGGGTGATGGGGACACCTACAGCTGAGACTCAAACATTACATGTAACCGAAATTATTTGTACCCTGTTAATATTTTGAAATTTAAAAAACCTCTCCTTTACATAGAAAGGAAAGTTTAGCTCTCTCAGGCCTCTGAGCAGTAGGTGGAGACCTCTGGCCAGCGCCCAAGCTCTTCTTCAAAATCTCGCTAGAGGGGGCCCTGCCACCTTCCCAGAGGCCTGGAAGCCTCAGAGGCCTGCCTTCCATGGAGAACACCCACAGGAGCTGAGTGCACCAGAGCTGCCGCCTGCACTCACCCTCTGCTGCTTTCTCATTGCAGGTGTCTGAAAGAAGGGGCTGGAGACGTGGCTTTCATCAGGGAGAGCACGGTGTTTGGTAAGAGCAGGGGGAGGAGCTATGGGAACGCCCCCTTTATCAGATAGCATCATGACTGGCTTAAGCTAATTCTATCCCTGAGCTCATGACACACTACTCTCAGGATTCCCTACAGGGAACAGCTCTTATTTTATGTCCATTCCTGTTTTAAATGATACATTTTCTTTGGATCTTCCATACCCACTGCCTTTCTCTTTCCGCTCATAGACACTCACCAAGGTATTTGAGTGTCTTCGGGGATGTGTGTGGTCTTACAGAATGGACAGTGCTGGTTTGAGTTTCTGGGTTCTAAGTTCAAAGAGGTCTTAGCAAGCATCAGAAACCATGCTGATCCTGTGGTTTTCCACTCAGTGTTTGGCTTTAGAGCTTTTTCGGGGGTGGTGTGTTTGTGTCTAATTTGGTGGTCCTAACAGCTGAAGAATGTTTCATGGAATGTGTCCACCACATTGTACCTCTCTATCACTGTAGTAATGGGCAGCCAGGTTGTGCTCCCCTTCCCCGACCACACGGAGCTGCACTAGTCATGTGTTCCTTTGCTGTCCTTTTGGACAATGTCCCTCTGGGACCTGCGCTACAGCACAATTGATGTATGTATACACTGAATACATTGCACCCAGGATCAATGGAGACAGGCCCACCATATTCCATGCAAGTCCACCAGCAACAGGGCTACCATATTCCACTCAGGACCACTGCACTACCCAAGACCATTAGGCTGCTGTCTGGAACGACAGTCTTCAGTCTTGGCGTATTTTTTACTTTCATTTGTTGTTGTTGTTCAAAAAAAATGATGGCTATAGCGCAATAGATATTTCATTGTTGGTTTAAATTTTATTTCTCTGACATCTAGTGAGTTTGATCATCTCAACATATTTGATAGTAATTTGGGTTTCTCTTTTTTATTTTGTAAATAAATGACCATTTTTCTGTTAAGTTTTATGCCTTGTTTCTATATGATTTTGATTCAAAGACAGGTGTTCCTTCTATCTCGGTATCAAACCATTGTGTGTTTTAGATTTTAGTAAGATCTTTTCTCAGTCAAAAATCTGACAATGTCACCCTTTGTTGATCAGAAATCTTTGAATTGATAGGGTCAAATCCATTTATTTTGCCTGGTTGGTTTGTGTTTTGGGAGTCTTTTAAAGATGCCCTTCCTTACACCAAATCACAATGATTTCCTACAACAATATTTGAAGACCCCCCCTCCTTACACATTTATCTATATGTGCTCTGACTAGGAAATCAGAGGTGGGTTTGGCTTTAGCGTTTTATTCCCTTTATAGTGAGATGGTTTTCCCTACAAAGACAACTACAAAAAATACCATCTTTTTTCTATTAATACAGGAAGCCAATTCTATAGCAAGTTTGTATATGTCCAAGTGGATTGGTTTTTGAACTGTTTTGTTTTATTGGTGTATTTGAATTTTTCTGGCTTATAGTGGGTCTTATGATAAGCTATATATAGAGAGAGAGAGAGAGAAAGAGGGAGAGAGAGAGAAGGAAGGAGGGACCCACTTCTTCTTTCTCATTTTGCTATTTTCAAATATTCTTAGATAAAAGTTTAGAATTACTTTTTGAATTTCTAAAAAAAATACTATAATTTTGATTGGAATTGCATTGAATTTAAACTGATGCACAAAAATTCACAAATTTATAACATTGAGTTGTCTGATTCATGATGATGCTAAATCTCCCCATCGGATCATGCCACTTTTTATTGTCGTTGATAGAACTTAACTTTTTTTCTTTATGGGTCTTATGCATTTTTGTGTGAGGCTAATGAACGGCTATTTAATGGTTTTAGTGGTTATTGTAACCTACTGTATGCACACATATTGTTTTCTATTTGATTATTGCTAATGAGGTTAACCCTTGATTTTTGTAGTTTGACTTGTGACTTGTTACCCTTCTGAACTCTCTTGTTAGTTTTAGTAATTTCTGTTGGTTTTGCTGGCTTTTCTGTGTATAGATAATTTAAATGGGAGTTTGTCTGCTTCCTTCCAGTGTTTATATGTCTTATTTCTTTTGTAAATTGTGTAATCCAGATACCTAGTATTGTGTTGGCAGTGTGACAGTGGGCGTCTGTGCCTTGTTTCTAAATGTGCAGCGAATGTCTAAATTTTCATCTTTTAGTGTGATTTCTCTGTAGATATTTTGCTTAATGGCATTTACCAGTTTCTCTAACATTAGCAACCTCTCTATATTACTATTTTGTTGAAAGAAAAAAAAATCACGAATAGACATCGAGGACATCAGTGATTTTTTTTTGTACCTATTAGGGTTAACATGATCTCTTGATTTTCCTCCTTTAATCCATTAATGCGGTGGATTAATTTAGCTTTTTTGACATTCAACCATTCTTTTGAAAATGGCATAAACTGATAAGCTTTAATCCTGATCTATTAGTTTTTTAAATAATCTGTTAGATCAAGTTAGTTAATATGTTACTTTTTAAGTTTTGCTTTTAAGTAAAATGGGCCCTTAATTCTTCCCTCTTGTACTTCTTTCTCTGATTTTGATATCAAGGTGGTACTAATCTCATAAAGTGACTTGGGGAAGTTTCTGTCACTTTACATATTCTGAAGCAGTTTATATATGATCCAAATCAACAATTCCAAATTTGGCTCAACTCACTCAGAAAACATTCTTTTCCCTTCTTTGATGCATCCAGTGTTGGAAAGTGACTCAACTGTCTTTCCTGCCTTGACATTTTTGTTACTTTTGTTCTTTCTAGAAATATTGGTAAGGTAGCACCCTTCAGAGGCCCTGGGTTTGTTTCTACAAAATGACTCTCTTCTATGGTTGCCATGGAAACACAGAGGGTCAGCTTTGGCCTCTTTGGCCTGCCAAGCAGCAGCTGCATCAGAATCACAAAGGTGGCCTTTGGGATTTTGTCAGAGGATCACACTCCTCTGCTTCCCCAGGCTTTGGGGGGACCAATTTTACCTGTCTGAGTGTTCTGGAGCAATCAATTGCCTTTTGACTCTTAGTTTTGTCAATGGTGTAAGATGCCTCTCCCAGCTCAAAAATCTATGGGGAGAAGGAGAACTACGACTCAGGGTTACTGCCTGGAGTCAGCACATCTGGGCTCCCTTCTACCTCTGCCTTCCCCCAGAGGAGCTGCCAGATAAGGCGGAAAGAGACCAGTATGAGCTGCTATGCCCGGACAATACCCGGAAGCCAGTGGACAAGTTCCTGGAGTGCAACTTGGCTCGGGTCTCTTCTCATGCTGTTGTGGCACGAAGCGTGGACGGCAAGGAGGATTCTATCTGGAAACTTCTCAGCCAGGCACAGGTATCCTCACCCACAGTTCTCCCATCTGCTTGGATTGGAGTGAGGGCAAGTCTCCTTCCTTCCCTAACTTCTTCCAATTTGGAAGTCCTTCTGTAACCTTGCCGCAGGAGCACTCACTGATGCAGTGGGCTGCTTGCCCACACTGTACTCTGGATAGCAGAGGCAGGGAACCCCCTCTAGCATTGCCGAAGGACAGTACCAAATGGCTAGAGTAGCTGCAGGGGGTGGAAGATGCAATATTCTCAGGACCCTAAGATGCTTGGACCCCAGCAACCTTCCAAAGCATGAACTTGTTTCTCAGTGATGGCACAAGTCCCTCTGTTGGAGAGGTCAATCAAAGCTCCTGCTCTTGGAATCATTCCAAAGTTCCAGATACTCTTTTATTAACATTGAATTTTTATTTCCTATCTATTTAATATCAATACCATTAATTCTCTTTTTTCTAAATTAGGAAAAGTTTGGAAAGAACAAGTCCTCAGCATTCCAGCTCTTCGGCTCCCCTGATAACCACAAGGATCTGCTGTTCAAGGACTCTACCCTTGGGTTTTCAAGGATCCCCTCAGAAGTAGACGCGGAGCTGTACCTTGGCTTTGAGTACCTCACTGCCATCCAGAACCTGAGGGAAAGTGAGTGAGTGCCAGGCAGGGTCTGCAGGCTGCCTGGTGTGAGTGGGGGGGCATGAGCGAAGCCATCTGCTTCAGGGTAGTGTAGCCCCCTGGTCTGTGGTGGTCACTTCATTTCTTGGCCACTGTGGGGTTTTTCATTATGGCAGACTGATGCAGGTTTGAGTGTTATCTCTACCGGGTCAGGGCAATTGTGAAAGGTGTCTCCAAAAGAATGTTCTGGTCACCTGATTAATGCCTCCCTTATGACCCTGTGTACATCAGGCTCTTGGTCCCTGATAGAACAATCAACTTGCCTCCTTCCTATTAAGTGAGAAATAAGAACCCAAAGCCAGAAAGCCAGGGGTGCCCTTAGAGATGAATCCAGAGGCCTGCTGAAATACCTCCCTGGGCCCGTGGACTCAGCTGGGGCCACCACAGCGAGTCTTTCCCTACTGAAGGGCTGGGGGTGGGTGGTGGGTAGGAGTTGGGTGAACCAGGAGGATGCATCATAGTTAATGGTAGTGACTGAAGGTCTTGGGGGAGGCTGGGCTCAAGGTCCCCTAGGTCATCTCTTGGGGTTGGCCACTAGACTTCGGGTCATGGAGCTTTTGTCTTAAGAGACAGAGACACAGGCACATCATTACAGTAAGGGCGGATAAATGAGTAGAAGCCAGGGAACGAAGGTCTCCAAAGAAGGGAAATGAGGGACGCAGTGTACCCTGCCAGCAGGAAGACTCAGCCTGGGAGCTAAGAGCAGAGAAGGAGAGGCTACAGTCGGGTGCATCCACACACGAAGGAGGGCGGGTCTGAGGAACCGAGTCTGGGGACTCCGAAGACCTGGCCTGGCTCAGGGCGGCCAGGAGACCCGCTGTCGTCCCTTCTTGCAGGCAGCGCGGCGGTGGAGGCCCGGCGCGCGCAGGTCGTGTGGTGCGCGGTGGGCGAGCAGGAGCTCAGCAAGTGCAGGCGGTGGAGCAGCGCGAGCGGCGGCAGCGTGACCTGCGCCTTGGCGCGCAGTACGGACCACTGCATCGCCCTGGTCCTGGTAAGGGCTCTAAGGACAGGGCGCGGGGGCAGGGGCTCCTCGGGAGACCCAGGCCACGGGCATCTGAGGCCAGCGCCAGCGAGGCCATTGCGGATGCGGGAAGGCAGGGACGCGGGGGACCGTGCGCTCGGGTGCACCCCGTGTTAACGGTGTGGTTTAATGTTGAAAAGACAG